AATATATATTGTCTACTTTTTCGTGTAGTATCCGTCTCGAGGGTGCTTTGCTGGAAGAATACACCAAGTGGTCATTCGAGCAGCGAAAATGACGCTTTTCCTCGCTAGGTCATTTCATTAACTTGAAACAGGTGTTACCTGACACTTCGCATAAAAGAAGAAAATTTTTCATTTGCGCGCAAGATAATTTAACAAATTTAATTTTTTTATTACAATGAGACATCTTATTTCAGATAAACACACATATACACACTTGTATATGTATACATATATATATATAGTGCTATGTAAAATGTTGTTGGTGATATTAATTAATGTGGATAAAGTTTTTCGTACATATACTGTATGATCATAAATTTAACTTTAAAGTCGATATAATACAAAAAGAAGTACTGTAAATATTGCACAGTACCCTTCATACACTTGCTTGTGCCTCTGTAAGCTCGGATATAAGAACGCGAGCAGGAGTAAGAATAAAACGGGAAAAAATCCACGCCATTGAATGTAAAAACGTAATGTCATACGCAGTGAATAAACCGTGACGTTAAGCCGAAGTTTATATTCCGATTTTTCCGCTTGGCCTAGAAAGCTGGCAACACAAAGAGATTTACAACTCATTTTCCTCGTACTTCGTCGATTGTTATTACTTGCGTTAATATTATTCGTATAATTTTTACTCCTGTCTGACATAATATTACCAATTACCACTTCTATTACTGTCGATCGTAATCTACAAGAAACTTATGAATCTAAAGATTACTTTAGAATAATAAAATAGTAAATCGAGAATAAAATGAATAAAATTGTAAAAAATAGGAAACTGCTTTGAAACATATTTTTACAATTTATTTATTTATCTATTAAAAATAAAAATTGGCAATATGAGCCAAGCATAGTAAGTCGGGCGCACAAAGTGCGTAAGTTTTTTATTTTTAAAAAACATATCAATGTAACACGTACATATTTGAATAGCGGACGTTTCGGCTCTTTTTTTGAGCCATCATTAGCGTACGGATTTAATAGTAAATTAGAAGATAGAATCGCAAATTCATAATCGGTTTGCCATATATATAAGAAATCAACAAAATCAAGAATTTTTTAAAACAAAATGATAATCTGATTTTCACACGCGCTGATAAAGGAAACATTACTGTAGCTCTGGATAAAGATGTATATTTTAAGAAGATTGAAGAATTATTGAATGACAATAATACCTATATTGTTGTTAAAAAAAATCCGACAAAAAGACTCACAGCATGTTTACGAGATTTATTAAAAAGATAGAAAGATTCGGTATTCATATTACCCTCAACTTATAGAGTTCTTATGTGCAGCGACGGAGTCTTACCGAGAGCATATGGACTCCCCAAGATTCATAAATCTAACTGCCCTTTCTGACTCATTGTTTCCTCCCTTAATAGTCCTTTATATAACTTAGCCTCCTTCATTCATCGTATAATGTTCAAAAGTTTCCCAACTGCACCTAGCCATATTACTAATAGCTTTGATCTTGTTAAAAAACTTTCTGACATACACATCAATAAAGATTTCTCTTTGATTTAGACGTCATTTCCTTGTTTACCAATATTCCTATCGAAATGGCGATCGACAGTGTCTCTTTTAGATGGAACTATATTTCTACGAATTGTACCATATTTAAATTAGAGTTCATTACGGTGGTAAAATTAATATTAAATTCCACTTATTTCACCTTTAACGGAGTAATTTACCAGCGAACATTCGGTACTCCTATGGGATCGCCTCTTTCTTCTGTTATTGCAGACATAGTATTACAAGACTTAGAATCTAGAGCTTTTGAATCCTTGACATTCACGCCTCCATTTTTTGTTAGGTATGTGGATGACATTGCACTAGCTGCCCCCTCTATTCTTCTGGATCATACTTTAAACACCTTTAACACTTTTCATCCACGTTTGCAATTTACAATGGAGATTGGTGAAAATAAACTTAACTTTTTTGACGTCTCCCTGATACTAATCAACAATCATTTGATTTTCGATCGGTATCACAAACCAACCTTTCCGGGGAGATACCTACATTTCCTTTCAAATCATCCGATTTGTCAAAAAAAAGGTACGATCATTGGTCTAATCGATAAAGTTATGTTGTTATCACATCCTATGTTCCACCGTAAGAATTTGGAATTTGTGGTTAATGTTCTTTTGGATAATTGTTATCCTCTGGATTTCGTTTTTAATGTTTTATATGAGCGCCTAAAAAATTTTATTTACAAAATAAATTCTAAATTTGACAACGAAAAACAAAGAGATGAACCTGAGAGAGTCTCCTTTTTCACGATACCTTACGTTCCTTCAATATACGAATAATTTAAGAATATTACCAGACACTTAAATGTAAAACTTTTATATCGCAATCTTAATAAATTGAACAAATTTATTAAAGTACATAAAGACCCCTTTCGGCTCGCAACAATGTTGTCTATAAAATTAACTGCGATAATTGTAATGCGTCTTATGTGGGACAGACGAAAAGATAACTGCATACTCGAACATAGAAATCATATCCGGAGAAATTCTACCAACTCTCTGTCATAACAGATCATAGAATCGCCTACGACTACGATTTTAGTTGGAATAATGTCGAGATATTGGACAGTGAACCGCACTTTCACAAACGATTAATTTCTGAAATTTTACATATAAAGAGGCAAAAGAATAGTCTAAATCTGCAGACAGACACCGAATGTCTTCCGGAAACGTACTTAACTGTAACTGATAAACTCTCTAAAATTTGATTTATTCTATTCTACTCTAAATAATAATAAACGCCGAATACTCTGTAATTCACTTTATTCAGTTGAGCTTGTTTCGTCCAGTTTTAATTTAACCGACAATTTGTCAGAAAAACTTTATATTTCTGGTCTTTTACCGGTTGAATATTTTAATGTTTTTATTTTACTGTAATCGACTCGACAATCTTAGGATTCAATGTCACATTGTTATTTATGCTATGTCCTATGTCACACATTATTATTCTGTACTCGACAACTGTTGAATTGTTATTGCGCTGTTTACTTGACTTTAAATAATAAAATAAACACAGAATATTTTTACTCTTTAATTTATAGTTTTATATATCTGATCTTGCACCGTCTAGTTTTAATTTAACCGACATTTTTTTAAAAACTTTACACATCTGATCTTGTACCGTTCTTTCGACAATACTATTAATTTATTTATTATGTTGTTTGCTCTTGTTTTGTTTTCTATCGACAAACGCTAAAAATCAGAATTTGTTTTCTATCGATAAATGCTAAAAATCAAAATTCTACTTCACATCACTCTGTTCAATCATTAATTTATTCGGTTTTATGTTTAATTTTTGATTTTGAATATTTCAATGTCTTGGTTTAGTGTCACATTGTTATTTATATTATGTCATATATCTCTATACTCGACAACCTTCGAATTATTATTGCGCCGTTTTACTGATTGACAACCAGTGTATCGTTATATTCCGTTGTGTCAGGTTGGAGATCTCTGTTAATCTTTCAGTGTAATGTTTTCCGAACGCTTTTGTACGTGTAAGTTCAACTTAAACAATTGTTTTATCTGTGCTCTCTCTCACATCATCATCCGCAAACACTGCTCTGCTTACAAGCATCTGGAAATGTTACGTACAGCCATTTTACATTTTTATATTTTTGGATTTTTCAACTTTTGACTGATTAATCGAGGAGTTCTTCCTATCAACAGCAGTAATGCGTTTGGACACAAATGTTTGTCTCTATCTTGAAGATGTGAGAGATCTCTACATTTTTCACCAATTTTTAACTTTGTTTTGTTGATTTCTGTCATTGTATATATGGCGAACCGATTATGAATTAACCAATTATGCGATTCTATCTTCTAATTTACTACTAAACCCGTGCGCTGATGATGGCTCAAAAAAAGAGCCGAAACGTCCGCTATTCAAATATGTACGTGTTACATTAATGTTTTTTTAAAAATAAACCTTTGTGCCAATTTTATTTTTAATTGCCAATTTTTATTTTTAATAGATTGTGATCCACGGAGTCTTATACTTTAACTATTTAATTTTATTTATTTATTCTATTTATTTAAGAGCGCGATTAGAAGAATATATCACTATTAAATCAAATATTAGTATCACTTAAAAAAATGTGCATAATGGTCGAGATTTTAACCAATTCAACTTGAATTCAAGATGGACACGACAAATATCATTAGATTACTTTTATATAATAGAAGCTTATTAAAAATCAAAGTTTATATCGAATTGACATTTTAGTAATATAAATATGTTACTTTAACATTTTATACAACTTTTAGATTTTTATTTTCAGTTATTCATAAGAACTTTGATTTTAATTATTGTGAAATTCATATGATTTGGAAAAATAGCGCTGTAACAAGCTGCTACTAAACAATAAGTTTCATATACATATACATAGTGTCCCAGAGTTACCGCACCACCTGCTAATGGCAGATTCTTGAGATCATTTGGAGACGATTTTTCCTCAGCGAAAATGTCGAGAGAGATCATCATTTTTTGCAAGTTTTCAATTTTTCCAACACATATCTTTGTATTTAAGCCTTAAATTAAATTTTTTTTTCTATTAAAGTAAACTCTATCTGAAATTAACTAAAGAATGTAGTTTTAATTCTCTATAAAGTTTAGTTTGCAATAAGCCTTTCTTTTTGAATCGCTTATAATACGGAAATTATTGTTGCTTCGATATTTTTGCTGAGAAAAAATCATCTTAAAATGATCTCAAGAATTTGTCATTAGTAGATGGTGCGGTAACTCTGGGATATCCTGTATAAAGGATAAAAACAAATATCATTCTATTTTATGTAATCAATTAACTTCACTTTATAACTGCATCTAGTTATGCTAAACCTCGCTTCGAATGATTTTGTCATGTGTCCGCAAAATTACGTCACGTAACTGAGAGAAAAGATCGATCGACAGTAACGTCACACTATTATTTGCAGGTGTACAGATACCAGCGGCTATCAATTCGACGTTAGTGTCGAATGACGAGAGATATATCGTAGTGTCAAAGGGATAAACGGCGGACGATGAAAATGTCGAGAGGCGAACCGGTACTTGTAAACATCGTGGCAATAAAATACGCGGACGATAAAGAAAAACTTGTATTGCCGGATGCTCGAATGAGGTTTTTCATAGAGAGGGAGAGGAAAAGAGGCTGTATAATTCACAACTCTTTTCCAGCGAATATATCTGTTACATGAGAACGCTCCGGAAAGAGCAATTGCTGAGTTTGCAGAGAAAACCTCGCCTCGCCCACGCTCTATTATTCAACGATGAGAATTTAACATTTACCGAATATTATAACTATACACAGTTGAAAAATTTGTGTTAAATTTAACAGATATCACATGTCTCAAATGGTCCACACAAATTTTTATATTAATTTAACATAATATGGATATATTAAATGGTGATATTAATACTATGTTAATATTTTAACACAAAAAAAAAAAAAAATAAATGCACATCTCAAAGTAATTTGAAATAAATTTTGTGTAAAATCAACATATTTTTAATGATAAAATTAACTTGGAAAAATATTATTGACGTATAGTCACTGTCATTCCTATTGACTAAAATAAAATCAATATTTTTTCTGTAAAATTTAACAGATAAATCCTGTCACTAATAATATGGGACATATCTATTGTGTAAAACTAAAAATAGGTGCACATTATGTTATTTTTACACTTTTTTTCAGTTGCTTTAATAATTTAACACTTGATTTCAATTAACACAACAGCAATATGTTAAATTAACACATGAATGTGTTAAATATTTAACATAAAAATTTTAACCGGCATATTTTTTAACAAAAAAACAAATTTTCCAACTGTGTAGTGATATTTGGCAGAGAGTAATTGTCTTTCCAATCGAGATATTTGTCAATAGTTTTATGCATCATATATTATAAATAATGGAATATTTTCAAACAACGAAAAAAATATGATCTTTTTCTTTGGACTTTTTCAATTATCCTATACATTAACAATAAGATGTATATGCGCTTGCTCCATTCACGTCTCATTGTACGCTTCTTATTGTACGAATAATTTATATTTAAGATTATTATGAGAAATCGTGCGAAATTTTCAAGCGTCTTCAGGTTGAACAAGAGTCAAATACAATTAGAGCCAAGTTTGAAAACTACATCTCAGCATGCAAACTCGATCCTTAATTAGACAAACCTTTTTTAAAGCAAACCGTCGTTAATACGCGTTGTGTGCGCGATCACGCACATATTTGAGATCATAATTCATCTGAGTGCAGCCATAATAATGTCCCTGCGCTGTATCGTAACGGCCGTACATGTGGCTGAAAACACGTGTAATAGCTTCATCGCATTCAATAGAACAAATCTGTCGTCATACGTTGCCGACGGTAAGCCCTTGATATCAACGTCGACGGAAAGGTGCGCGATATTAAAATAACGAGAAAAAACTTGTATCGCCGTAATCAGAGTTAAAATTTCTCGCACCCCAAGAAAGAAGAGCGGCATTTCTCGCTTGTCGAACAAGACGGAGGACGCGTACCATCTTTCTCGAAGCCGAGTGTGAAGGAAGAATGATGTGAGAAAAGGGATGAGAGAGAGAGAAAGAAAGACGGAACCGAAGAAAAGGATACGCGCAAAAGCCTCGAGGCTGTTGTATTCCGCTGTTCGTCTTCATGCGCGATAAAATTCCTCCGCTACCTTTCCGCCGACGTCACAAGAAAATATTTGCCGTGTTGTTCGGTTAGCCGTGCGCGCGTTTTTATCCAAGCAGAAGGATGAAACGCGAAATTAAAACGGCACTCGTCGGCTGATCCTCGCCAATCCAATCCCTTTTCTTCATTACATTCCGAGCAATCCATCGTTTCCTCTTATTGCCGGACGAGAGTGAGGAGATTGTAAAAGACCGGCGCGATCGATTCAACTTGATCGGTATTAAACGAGAATCGTAGAAAATGGAGTTATCTTCTTTTTTTTTCATTCGCTATCTTGTGCAGCACCCGATTATACCCGCAACGAGTCAAAGTAAAAAAGTTATTTACCCGATAAATAATTATCAATTAGAGATATTTAAAGCTTGATAAAAAAAATATTAATATTATTATTTTAAGCTCGAATTCATAGAAAACTTATGAGATAGAATATACATGATTTTTCTTAAATTGTTTTGTCATTTCAAGTAGCTTAAAAACATTTGATAAGAAAAAAATTTTCCTAATTGTATAATTTATAAGGTATGGCACGCAAGAACTGTCGTTATACGATGTTATTGGGTGTTACATTTAAATATGTAAATTCGACTAAAGCAGGTTTCTTTCTTCAGATTGCTCGGATTAAAGTTTCGCATAATAAAAAGTTTTCATTAACAAAGCGAATAAGCAACAGAAGATAAAAGAAAACACTAGAAAAATGAAGAAAAAGAGAACGCATAGATAAGACTTGTTGGTAATTTGAGTTAATTTAATATTTTTTCTGCATTACGATATGATGTTTTCTTTCATCTCATTGTCAGAGGAAAAAGAAGACGGCTTGAGAAACTTCTTATTATCGATTCTAAGTATTACAACTTTTATAAATTTTTTATAAAAATGTTCTCTCTCTCTCTCTCTTATAATATTATCTTTAAAAGAAACAAGAAAATTTGTTATATATATTCATTTTCTTTTTCGCATATATATGTACATATATTTTTTTGTGGAATATTGACTTTTTCGAAAATTTGCTGTATGTATTATACAAAAGTATGACGTCATTGTTTCCATGGATACGAGAGGAGGACTTCGTCAATGACGTCACTACCTACAGTTCGGCGCTTGCTCAGGATGATGTTGAAATTGAGGTCAATGCACTCGCAATTGCATTTGTGGTGCGACGTCATAGTCTATTTAAACTTATAATTTATTTATATATAACTGCATCAATAATCCCTGTGAATTAATCTTATACAACTATTCAATTCCATATATATTAAACTATTTTTAAATTATGCAAGAAGATTTCGCGCGTACACAAAACGATGAATCCTTTCATTCTCATACAAGGATTTCGTTAGTTAAAAACAGAATTTATTCGTATATACAGGTCATAAATCTCGCTCAAAAATGTGTCAAAACCTTTGCGTTTTAAATAATGCTATAAAGATAACAGCTAGTATCTTTTATTTTAACATATATTTCCAACCAATCCATTTTTCACGACGCATACTTATATATAATATCGAATGTAGCACATATGCATCGTAGAGAGAAAAAGAGAGAGATTTATTATTCTTATTACGCGCATAAATGTGTTTTGGAATTATATATCTTTTAAATTTTGAAATTATACATGTAAAAATAATGTTATAGAAAAACTACTCTGATACATAAGTATTATATTAATAAAAAAGCATTAAATGCAATCTGTGTGTGCCGATATATCTCTTTCATCAGCAATATGTTTTCGTAACTATCATATATATGTATTCCACGTGTAATGACTGGGCTCATCCAATCCAATAACACATAATACGCAGTTTATACCTTGATCTCTGGCGTAGACGGACAAGCAGAAATAAAGCAAGTATATCATCAGATTATACTGTATTCAAATTATCATTCTAAATTGCTTAATTTTTTGCAGCTGGGTCCATCTCGTCGATGGTATTTGAATACAATGCTTTCACATCTGTGCTCAAGCCAGTTTTATATTTCACGTCCTGACGATAATCTCCTTAATTACGAAAGTTTAAAAGGGAAAAAGAAAGAGTCTTAAATGGTTCACATAAGAATATTTTTTTTTATTATATATTATATTATCACGAATTCTTTTGTCTAAAAATTTGCTAATTTTTAATCAAAATCAAAAGTAATCTAGTAATACCGTATTTTTTACTTAACGTTATATTTACAAAATTTCCTATATTCTCCTCCCTCTCCCACCTCCTATGCAATCTCGACAAAATCGCTCTATCGAAATTTAATATTTGTTATTGGACAATACATTTTGTGTAAGGACGCGATTTCTTTACGACTTTATGCACGCACGGTTTCCACTTTGTATCTGTCGCATACGTATGTGCAACAATATAGCTGTAACACGCTCTTACACACAAACAAATACTACGTCAAGTGCGTACGGAATTGTACGACCGCATAGTCGTCATTGCGAAAACAAACGCAGCGGTCGGCTATTTTGGGAGCATGGACCAGGCAGCGTACTATATATTTAGATGAAATATGTATATTCGCCTGTAAGACTCACGGAAACTGAGCGTCTATGAACGCGTATTGCTTCCTTTTCGAGTTACGTGCTTTAAGACTATCGCCGATTTTCGTTAATAGCCCACCGAGAAATCGAATTCGGATGCATGGCTTAATTAAGTGATAATTTATTGCTAATTTTTTGTTTTAATTTCAAATTTATTGCTCCTATCAATTAGCAGGAAATTTATTAAAGGTAGTGCATGCTGATTTCACACACATTAATTAGCATTTCTATTTAAAAAAGAACACTGATAGCGAATTGTAAATTAGACAACAAATCGTAAAAAAACAAAAAAAATATTAAAATTAATTGCGGATTAATTGCAAAAATATTGCAAATAGACTTTAAATCATAAGCACTAAAATCGACATTGGTATATATCGAGAACAAGTAATTCGAGAAATATTTTAATATCAAAATTGAAGGAGAGCACAATTAATTGCATATTTTATTTTTGTGGCGATATAAATGTTGAAACGTTTACGATTATTTTTTAAACTTATTTTGCAAACAATAAATTCTAGATTAAAACAATAAATTAGCAATAAATTGCGTCATTATCGCGTGAAGAGATATCGCGAAGAAAAGCGAGCAATTAATTTTATAAATGACAAATTTTATAAATAACAAATTAACAGAATTATACATAGATTACTCACTGCATGGTTATTCCGCCGTTCTCGGATTTTCTTTTTCTTGGTGCCGAAACGTCCGGTTTTGTATACTCTATGATAGAGATTGATAGAATAAAACAAAAAATGCGCTCCACTTACCGCGCGTGGCTCTGATTGCCTTTATCTTGTATTTTAATTTTTCTTTTCCTTATTTATTTTTAATAACACAAAAGATTCACTCGCGGAAATACAGTTAATTACGATTGTCCGAATACTACTATCAATAAGCACCAGAAAACTTCGATTATCGATATTTATTTTTACTTTTAATTTGTATATCTATTTACTTATAATGAGAGATACGCTATGTACAGAAATGTGCTATCTTCATTATTAATGAATAGTATAACTTTTTATTGCTAAAAAACGACGGTAATTGTGTATATTAGGGCTGATCTCACAAATTTCAATGGCCTTGATATATTACCAAGGACACTGCCCTGTGTAACTTTCAAAAAGTTTTAACCGTCGTTCCTTGTTTATTAAAAAATTATTAATAAAATAAGTTTAATGAATAGAATGTCATTTTCTAACATTAATAGTAAAAA